AGTCCACGAGTCATAAAAGAGCCAAGGTTGACTACCCCTGCTCTAGTCTACTATCATGAAGCATCACTGGAATAAAATTTGGGGAGGGAAAGAATATGCAGCAGCTGAGTATGTGTCGGCCTTGTCCCTTCGCTGCTTCCACGCCGCGGAGGAAACCAAACAGCCCGACTTACTCCCAGTTTCCCCTCCGACCTGCCCTCCACTCACCTTCCAGCTGCAGCTTCCACTCTGAGAAGCGCAGGAGAGCCGGCCTCCACGCCTCTATCCTCCCAGGGCTCAGCCGGAAGAGGAAGTTCCTCTGTCCTTCTCCAAATCGTCTCTAGCAATGCAATACTCTATCGTTTTAACACATCTTCAGTTCAGTCGTTCCCCTTCCCGTTAGATCAGGGGTAGGCAACCTCGGCTCTGACTCAGGAATTCTGGGAGTTGAAGTCCACGAGTCATAAAAGAGCCGAGGTTGCCCACCCCTGCGTTAGATGTTATTAGAAGGCGATCTGGCGATCCGCTGCTGTGTTGGCGGCTTCCGAAGAGCGGCTTTGGCTGATGACCTCAGGCCTAAGGCCGGACTGGGACTAAGCGCTTCCCGATCTCTAGCCTGGTGCCTTTACCGCTAGCTAGGCCAAACTGGCTCTTCTTACTGCTCACAAAATCCACCCGCTGCTGCTCCAACAGCCTTTTTTTTTCATAGAATAAAAAGGGATCCTGGAGGTCATCTAGTCCAAACTCCTGCTCGAGCAGCAGAGCAAGACAGCAAATGGCTGTCTAATCCAGTGTTTCTCAACCTTGACCATTTTAAGGCATGTGGACTTCAACTCCCAGAATTCCACAGCCAGCAATGCTGGCTGTGGAATTCTGGGAGTTGAAGTCCACATGCCTTAAAATGGTCAAGGTTGAGAAACACTGGACTCTAATCTCTTCTTAAAGACCTCCAGGGATGGAGTGCCCATAACCTCTGGAGGCCAGCTGTTCCATTGGTTAATTGTCCTCACTGTCAGGAAATTTCTCCTTAATTCCAGGTTGCTTCTCTCTTCGATTAATTTCCACCCATTGCTTCTTGTCCTGCCTTCAGGTGCTTTGAAAAATAAGTTGATCCTCTCATCTTTGTGGCAGCCCCTAAAATATTGGAACACTGCTATCATGTCACCCCCTACTCCTTCTTTTTACTAGACTAGACATACCCAATTCTTGCAACCGGTCTTCATATGTCTTGGAATCCAACTGTGGTAACTTTGAACGGTCACTAAATGAACTGTTGTAAGTCGAGGATTACCTGTAACTCCAGGCGGCTCCAACACATCTTCCTCCACCTATTTTCCCCATAATAACCCTGTGAGGTGGGTTTGGCCGAGCACTAGTGATTGGCCCAAAGTCACCCAGCTGGCTCTAATGGCCTACGGTGGGATTTGAACTCACACTCCTTTAAGATTGCCTGTTGCTTAATTTTGTTTTGTTTTATTAGTTATATATCATTTGTAGTTTTTGTGGGGTCTAAGTTATCTTTACTGCAAAGGAGTTACTTGTTGGGTACTCCACTATTCCCTTCGTGTCAATATCAAAGTGTCCAATATATATAATTAAAATCAATATTTGTTCTACTCCAAACTTAAGTGTGCCATAAATTATTATTGCTATTGTTATTTTCAGACTCATATATATTGCCCCACTTTTTGCCATCTGGTGTTTTGGTGGTATGCATGAGACACCTCCCAAGGGAAAAAAAAGATGGAGTCTTCACAGAATGATAATCAAAAGAACCATACCTTTTGCAATGAACTCTTATAATAGCCAGTCAACCATGAACACTTTCAACATCTTCCCTTCCATTTCTCCATGTCCCCTTCGATTCCCCAAAGACACCAAAAAAGCTGTAGCCACTAAGAGTTTGTATTATGGAATAATCCTCTCAGAGATCCTGAGGCTTTTCAACCATTTCAATAATTTTCAGCTCCTAAGCATAATAAAACGTGACTTGATAACAGAGGTGCCCAAAAATGGCACCAAAAAAGAAACAGGGAAGGAATACAGAATAGAATACAAAATAGCAGAGCTGGAAGGGACCTTGGAGATCTAGTCCAACCCCCTGATAAAGCAGGAGACCCCAGGGGTAGGCAACCTTGGCTCTTTTATGACTCATGGACTTCAACTCCCAGAATTCCTGAGCCAGCCGTGCTGAGGGGAAAGGGAGAGGTTTCCAAGCTGAGCCATGCTGGCTCTGGAATTCTGGGAGTTGAAGTCCACGAGTCATAAAAGAGCCAAAGTTGCCTACCCCTGCCCTATACCATTCCAGACAAGTAACTGTCTAGTCTCTTCTTAAAAGCCACCAGTGGCTGGCTCAGGAATTCTGGGAGTTGAAGTCCACCAGTCATAAAAGAGTCAAGGTTGCCTACCCCTGCACTAGTCGATTGTTCTCAGTGCTAGGAAGTTTCTCCTTAGATCTAGGTTGCTTTTCTTCTTGCTTAGTTTCCATCCGTTGCTTCTTCTTTCGTCTTCAGGTGCTTTGGAAAACAAGCTAGCCCCCTCTTCTTTGTAGCAGCCCCTCAGATATTGGAACACTGCCATCATGACATACTCAGTTCTTTTTTATTAAATGTAATTTGATGATTTAAAAGTTTAAAAACTTGCACATGTTTAAATTTGAAGCCATTTGGAGCTTGAGGCTCAGTCTAAACAAGCCTCTTTGTTCCTCCTCACTCCTGGCCTGGTCCTGAACGTTGGGCATCTTCTATAAAAAAGAACATTTGCAATGTGACCTACTGGGGGGGGGGGGGAACATATGATATTACCTGATCAGATCAAACCAAATCTTTATTACAGTGAAAGACCAAGGAATGAGGGGTACATTTAATTTAAAAGCATGGAAAATAATCAATGTCCCAAAGTAATAATTATTATAAAAAGCTAAAAGTTATAAAAGAGATACAAATTACTTAAAAGCAGAACTATAAATGGAACTACAGATAGCCCTTGATTTACGACCACAATTAAGCCCAAAATTTCTGTCGTTAAGTGAGTTTTGCCCCATCTTACGACTTCTCTTGCCTCAGTTGTTAAGTGAATCTGACTGCCCCATTGTTTTTTTCTGTCAGGTCGCAAAAGGTGATCACATGACCTTGGGACACAGCAACCATTGTAAATATGAGTCAGTTGTCAAGCGTCTGAATTTTGATCACGTGACCATGGGGATGCTACAAAGGTCGTAAGTGCGAAAAGCGGCCATGTGTCCCTTTTTTCAATGCCGATGTAACTTTGAACGGTCACTGAACAAACTGTTGTAAGTCCAGGATTACCTATATCAGGTAATATAGGTAATTTGGGTAATATAGGACCCAGATTGCTGGGAGGGGCAATATGCTGACTGTAAACCGCTTGGAGAGGACTGTAAAGCACTGTGAAGCAGTATATAAGTCTAAGTGCTACTGCTACTGCTATATAAGAAGGGCTAGGACAGGAGTAGGCAACCTTGGCTCTTTTATGACCCCTGGACTCAGGAATTCTGGGAGTTGAAGTCCACGAGTCATAAAAGAGCCAAGGTTGCTTACCCCTGGGCTAGGAGCATGAGAGAGGTGTTGGGAGCATAAAGGTTAATATGTGGTAAACTAAATTTATCATTCTACAGAGCACACCAGTATGATGACTTGGATGCTCGTTAACATTAGTTTATGGCACAGGTCATCATCTGACAAATTTTAAGTGATGAACCTCAGAACCTGGCAACCTTATATACTGTAGCAGGATTCCTGTCTGAAACCAGCAGGGAGGTGTCATGTACATCCTATTTATGCAATCATGGTCAAACAAGCCCGGTATGAACATCTCTGCAATACAATCATTGGCAAAGCACATTCTCTGATGTTTCTATGTGTGCAGAGTCAGGGGGGCATCGTATTATAACCTAAATTATCCTACTTAAACAAACAAAATTGAATTCTTTGGTGTCTTCTAAACTTGGCAAAACCGGAACCATTCATCCACATAGCTAAAATGCCACTTAGCTGCGCCTAATAATTTTCCTCTGTTTACTTCTAGGGATTTGTTTTTGGGAGGGGGGGACTTTTAAAAGAAGCCCTGAGAGTGGAATGAAAGAATTGGACAAGTTTCCAAAGTGTTGCGAAGAGAGCTTCGCATTCCCTTGTCCCAATTATCACAGCAATGCCGACACTACTCATTTTTTTCCCTTGTCAAAAGCTATTCAGGGATCTTATACAATGTGTTTTTAAAAATGAAACATTTACCACTGTGCAATTCTTTTTCTCATGGGGGATGCAACAAAATTGTCAGCACCTTGGTGCTGCTGTCACCCACCAGCCACCAAAGGCTAACAAGAGGCACCCCTAAACAAACAAGATCGCAGCAGGAGTTGCTAATAAACTTGAAGATCCTCCACTCAAAATGACAACCCCATTCTTTTCAATATTCTTACAACACCTATACATCATGTTCAACAGTCCAAAGGTGCTTTTTCCAAGAGGCAACTGGACTTTTTTTCCCCCCTTGAGAATATTTCACTTCTCACCCAAGAAGCTTCTTCAGTTCTGACTGACTGGTGGAGTCAGAACTGAAGAAGCTTCTTGGATGAGAAGCGAAATGTCTTCAAGGAAAAACAAAGGAAGTCCAGGAGTTGCCTCTTGGAAAAAGCACCTTTGGGACAACCATGACCTGGATGACTGAGAATCTTCACAGACATGTTCAACAGCCTTTATATGTGAAATTTTACACTGCTGTTGCTGTTAAGGCCTCTCTCCTATATTCACCAGTCTGTACTTCACCCTAACCACAATGTGAACAAGCATTGAGGACTGAATAGTTGGAAGTCTTAGGAGAAGATAAACTCTGAACCCCTTATTTTTTCATATTTGAGGAACCATAACCTGTAAGTAAATTTGAGTGCTCCTATCTTCTACAGGTAATACACGGTATTCAGTAATTTCTGTTGACAGCCAGATATAGGTAGTTAGCTTTTATAAAAACAACATTTTCCTTTCCTTTCCTTTTCTCTCCTCTCTCATGATTCATATTAAGACATATTTGACTAAAGTGAATCAGGCCCAAAATTAAGTAGTTTCTCAGCTGCATTTCCAAAAGTAGGTCAGACAAGAAATTCAAGCCTTTTCTGCAACCATCACCTTCTGCCTCATGTGCATTTTCTTGTGTGTAATAAGGGAGGAATTTTGCGTGAAGCACCGTCCACACTCGGGGCATTTGAAAGGTTTCTCCCCTGTGTGTAAACCTACGTGATTAATAAGGTTAGTCCTAGTACTGAAACCTTTCCCACAATCCGGACACTCATATGGTTTCTCTCCTGTGTGAGTCCTCTGGTGCATCACCAGCACATGATTCTGACTGAAACTTTTCCCACAATCTGAACATTCGTAAGGTTTCTCCCCAGTGTGTGTCCTCTGGTGTTTCACCAGGTGGGAATTCTGGCTGAAACTTTTCCCACAATCTGAACACTCATACGGTTTCTCCCCTGTGTGTGTCCTTTGGTGTATTAGCAGGCCGGAATTCCGACTGAAACTTCTCCCACAATCTGAACACTCATATGGTTTCTCCCCTGTATGAATTCTCTGGTGCATCACCAGGGCATAATTCCGGATGAAACTTTTCCCACAATCTAGACACTCATATGGTTTTTCCCCAGTGTGAGTCCTCTGGTGTATAACCAGATCGGAATTATGACTGAAACTTTTCCCACAATCTGGACACTCATACGGTTTCTCCCCAGTGTGAGTCCTCTGGTGTACCACCAAGTCAGAACGGTGTCTGAAGTGTTTCCCACATTCCAGACACTCTGGTTTCTCCCCAATATGAGTTCTCTGGTGGTTCGCTAGGTGGGAATTCTGACCAAACCTTTTCCCACAATCGGGACACTCATATGGTTTCTCTCCTGTGTGCATCCTCTTGTGTATTGCTAGGGTGGCCTGGTTCCTAAAGCTTTTGCCACATTGGCGGCACTGGGTGGGCTTTTGTCCAGTGTGAGTCCTCTCGTTCATAATCACATAAGGTTTGCAATCCCACAATATGCACATCTGTGGGGCTTTTCCACCTACGACAGTTTTGGATGTGGAAATCAAATATATTGCCACATAGGGCAGACAGTCATGCAGTCCAAGTGACTCGTTCCTCCCCACTGATTTCCAGATATTTCCCTCTTTTTCTGATTTTGGAAACACTCCTCCTTGACCTTTTCATGGAGTGCTTCCTTGAATTCCACAGAGTCTGTTTTTTCCAGCTCAAAACTCTCTCCTCTTATTCTCTCTTTTGTCTGTCATCTGATAGAAGAAGTTGTGGTTTTCTGGAGAAAATGGAAAAGACTTTGATTACTGGCTGGATTTTCCTTTTTAATGCTGCTTCTGATTCTCACTTGTCCAACATGATCTTCTGCACAGCCTCTTCGTCTAAAAGATTCACATAATATAAATGGATGCACAAGATGTGAAAACAACAAGAAAAAAGCATAAATTACAATTAGGAAGCAATCACGCCAATGTATTAAATTTATCTATAACATTAATTATGATTCATTTCGAAGATAGAAGACTCTGAGATCCATGTTCAAATAACCGTTACAATCATTACATTCTCTTCTTCAAAGTTACAATGGCACTGAAAGAGGGGACTTATGACCATTTTTCACACTTACGACCATTGCAGCATCCCCATGGTCATGTGATCAAAATTCAGATGCTTGGCAACTAATTCACAGTTATGACGGTTGCAGTGTCCCAGGGTCATGTGATCCCCTTTTGTGACTTTCTTACAAGCAAAGTCAAGGGGGAATCCAGTTTCACTTCACAACCATGACACTAATTTATCAACTGCAGTGATTCACTTAACAACTGTGTCAAGAAAGGTCATAAAATGGGTCAAAATTCACTTAAATGTTTCACTTAGCAAAAGAAATGTTCGGTTCTATTGTGGTCGTAAGCTGTGGACTACCTGTATATCATAATTTTCTACCATTGTTATTATCAAAGATAACTGGAAATGCTGAGGATAGTTTATACAGATATACAGATATATGCAGAGAGAGAAATACAGATACACACATCTACAAATGTATGCATCTCAAAAATCCATGTGTATTTCAGCCTGAAAAATGTGTCAAATCTGGGTACGCTCAAATAATAATAATAATAATAAGTTGGAACGGACCTTGGAGGTCATTGAGTCCAACCCCCTGCTCACGCAGGAAACCCTATACCCATGGTGGCGAACCTATGGCACGCATGCCACAGGTGGCACGCAGAGCCCTATCTGTGGGCACGTGTGCCGTTGCCCCAGTCCTAGGTCTTCAGCTGGATTTTATAAAACCTTTTCGCTTTATGCCTCCACCGCCATGTGCAAAAAAAAAAGGTTCAATCAATGAATCAATTTCAACTTCTTGCGGGGAAAAAAAGATCATGCAAAGTTGGAATTTATTGACTGAACTTTTTAGTCCCACCCAGTCTGCCGTTACCACCACAGCCACAGCCACCCAATGGGCCACGCCCACACAACGGACCACACCCACCCAATGGGCCACGCCTACCCAGCACCTGACGATGCATAAGTGGGTTTTAGGTTGCAGTCTGGGCACCCGATCTCTAAAAGGTTCGCTATCACTGCCCTATACCATTTCAGACAAATGGCTATCCAGTCTCTTCTTAAAGATTTCCAGTGTTGGAGCATTCACCACTTCTGGAGGCAGGTTGTTCCACTGGTTAATTGTTCTAACTGTCAGGAAGTTTCTCTTTAGTTCTAGGTTGCTTCTCTCCTTGACTAGTTTCCATCCGTTGCTATTTGTCCTGCCTTCAGGTGCTTTGGAAAATAGCTTGACTCCCTCTTCTTTGTGGCAGCCCCTGAGATACTGGAACACTGCTATCATGTCCCCCCTCGTCCTTCTCTTCATTAGAGAAGGGGGGATGTTGGGGGAAGGCGTCAACAGAGGAAATGGTGTCCAAAACCTCTGCAAGATTTAAAGCACCAGTTTTGCCCATTAAACTCCTCACCTGCCCAGAAAACAACGTGCTCATAAAAACCACAAGGAGTCGCCCCTAGCACGAAGGAGACATTTAAGTCTCCCCCAACCAGCAGAAAAATGTGGACCAGAGTTTTAAAGTGAGCAGAATCTATGAAATTATATTTGGGGAGGAAAGAAACAGGTAGCAGATGGCATGTTTCAGCCTTGTTCCTTCTCTGCTTCTACACCGTGGAGGAAACCAAACAGCCCAACTTGCTCCTCGCCTTTCCTCCGACCTGTCCCCAACTGACCTGCCAGCCGCTGTCCTTGGAAGAGCTGGAAAACTGTCTCCCATTGCTTCATCCTCCTATGGGTCATCCAGAAGAGGAAGTTCCTCTTCTCTTCTGCTCCCTCCCACAACCCCTCTAGCAATACTCGATGGTTTTAACACCTTTCAGCTTAGCCGCTCCCCTTCCTGTTGGGTGTTATTACACAGCAACCAGCTGTGTTGCTATTCTGTTGCTGGCTTTCTAGGCGGGGGTTTTGTTGATGGCTTCGTGCATAAGGCAGGATTGGAGCTGAGCCTTTCTCAGTTCTGGGGCTTTCGCCACTACACCAAACTGGCTCTTCTTCTTCCTTACAAAATCTACCCACTTAGCTGTTCCTGCAGCTGCAATCTTTCAAGATCTAGTCAAAATGAAATTCAATGATGAAAAAAGTAAGGTTCTACATTTAGGCAAGAAAAACCAAATGTACAGGTATAGTATAGGGGGTACCTTGCTCAATAGTAGTAACTGTGAGAGGGATCTCGGAGTCCTGGTGGACAATCACTTAAATATGAGCCAGCCGTGTGCTGCAGCTGCCAAAAAAGCCAACACAGTGCTAGGCTGCATTAACAGAGGGATAGAATCAAGATCACATGAAGTGTTAATTCCACTTTACAATGCCTTGGTAAGGCCACACTTGGAATACTGCATCCAGTTTTGGTCACCACGATGTAAAAAAGATGCTGAGACTCTAGAAAGAGTACAGAGAAGAGCAACAAAGATGATTAGGGGACTGGAGGCTAAAACATATAAAGAACGGTTGCTGGAACTGGGTATGTCTAGTTTAACAAAGAGAAGGACGAGGGGGGACATGATGGCAGTGTTCCAATATCTCAGGGGCTGCCACAAAGAAGAGGGAGTCAAGCTATTCTCCAAAGCGCCTGAAGGCAGGACAAGAAGCAATGGATGGAAACCAATCAAGGAGAGAAGCAACCTAGAACTAAGGAGAAACTTCCTGACAGTTAGAACAATTAACCAGTGGAACAACCTGCCTCCAGAAGTGGTGAACGCTCCAACACTGGAAGTTTTTAAGAAGAGACTGGATAGCCGTTTGTCTGAAATGGTGTAGGGTTCCTGCCTGGGCAGGGGGTTGGACTCGATGACCTCCAAGGTCCCTTCCAACTTTATTATTATTATTATTATTATTATTATTATTATTATTATTATTATTATTATTATTATTATTATTAATAATAATAATAATAATAATAATCTTTGCAACCGGTTCCCCATTATTCTCCTGATAACAGATCTTTTTTTATCTTTAAATCTGAGCTTCTCAAACTTTTCTTCTGAAGAAATGGAGTGTTTCTCCGATTGTAGACTGGTGGCTTCTGGTCTGGGTCCGGGGACCAGCTCCTCTGGCTATGAGATTGCCCGTTGCTTAATATTGTTTGGTTTTATTAGTTATATAGTGGTCAGATTTTGGTGTGTCTAATTTATATATTCTTTCTACTGTTTAAGGGATTACTTGTTGGGAGTTCCACTATTTTCTTTTTATCAGTTTCATTGTGTCTATTTTGAATGTTTGTGTAATGGGATTCAGTTACTGTTCTTTTATTTCTGCTCCTCAATTAATTCTTAAGCATGACATATATTGTTATTCCTCTCCTCACATTCATACCCATTGCCCCTCTTTTTTTCCATCTGGTATTTTGGTTGTATGTATGAGATACACCCCAAAGGAAAAAAAAATTGAAGTCTTCGCTGAATGATAATAAAAAAAACATGCTCTTTGCAAGGAACACTTGTACTAGCCAGTCAGACATTAATTCTTCCCTTCCTTCTCTCTGTGCTACTGTCCCATTTGGTTCCCCAAACACATCAGAATGTTGTAGCCATTAAAGGTATGCATTATTACAGGATGGTCCTCTTAAAGATCCAAAGGCTTTTGAAGCATTTTCAGCTCCTGAGTATAATAAAATGTGACTTGATAACAGAGATGCCCCACAAATGGCACCAAAAAAGAGAGGGGAATAGATAAGGAAGAGAGAATTAAATGTAATTTGATTATTTTAGAGTTTAAAAACTTTGCACATATTTAATTTTGAAGCCACTTGGAGCTTGAGGCTCAAGCCAAACAAACATCTCGATTCCTCCTAACTCTGGCCTGATCCTAGTTGCTGAGTTTCCTTCTCTAAAGGCTTCCTATGCAATGTGATCTCCTGGAGAAAAAAAAGCACTATATAACCTGATAAAATCAAATCAATCTTTATTACAGTGAAAGACTGGCATATAGTTAAAACAGAAGTCCCCAACCTTTTTGGTTTGGCGGCCTAGGGAGGCAGGCACCATTACGCGTGCATGTGTGCACGCACAAATGGGCCACACGCGAGTGCCACAAATGGGGTGGTGCTAGCACTGGCAGGATGCATGGGGCAGCACTAATGCCAGCAGGACGCTTGGCACAGGGTGGCGCTAGCACTGGTGGGATGCTCGGGGTGGTACTAGCATAAAGGGGGTGAGTGCATGCGCACACACGCGTGCACGGCCATCCCTTCACGCAGCCCAATGGCCAAGAGGCCAGGGCCCAGTAGTGGGCTGTAGCCCACAGGTTGGGAGCCCCTGAGTTAAAAAGTACAGAAAAAATCATAGTCTAAAAATGATAATACATAGAAGAGAGAATATATATAAAAACAGAAGTTTAAATGGAACTAAGAGGAAAGCTAGGGTGAGATGGGTGTAGGGAGCATAAAGGTTAGTTATGTGGCAGACTAAATTTATCACAACACAGAGCACATAAATGTGACACGCTGGATGCTGGTTAAAACTAGTTTGTGACACATGTCATCCATCATCTGATAAATTTTAAATGCTGATCCACAGAACTTGGCAAATTTATTCATTCATTCACTCACTCATTAAATTCACTTGCTGGCATCTTACCAGAGGGTAATTCTGGGTGGCTTATTAAAAAGATAAAAATATGTAAAATCTATAAACACAACGAATATGCTATAAAAATATAAATATATACATACTCAACAATACTCAAATGCTCAACCATACTCATGTTATACAATATGATAGTAGCAGTAGGATAGTACTCAGCGTGGGTTCTCAATGGAACCGCATCTACATGGAGGGAAGTGTGTAGTGGGGTGCCCCAGGGCTCTGTTTTAGGCCCAGTGCTCTTCAACATCTTCATCAACGATTTGGACGAGGGGATAGATGGGGAACTCATCAAATTTGCAGACGACACCAAGCTGGCAGGAATAGCCAACACTCCAGAAGACGGGCTTAAGATACAGGAGGATCTGGGCAGACTGGAACACTGGGCACTATCTAACAAAATGAAATTCAATGGTGAAAAAAGCAAGGTTCTACATTTAGGCAAGAAAAACCAAATGTACAGGTATAGTATAGGGGGTACCTTGCTCAATAGTAGTAACTGTGAGAGGGATCTCGGAGTCCTAGTGGACAATCACCTAAATATGAGCCAGCAGTGTGCTGCAGCTGCCAAAAAGGCCAACACAGTGCTAGGCTGCATTAACAGAGGGATAGAATCAAGATCATGTGAAGTGTTAATACCACTTTACAATGCCTTGGTAAGGCCACAGTTGGAATACTGCATCCAGTTTTGGTCACCACGATGTAAAAAAGATGTTGAGACTCTAGAAAGAGTACAGAGAAGAGCAACAAAGATGATTAGGGGACTGGAGGCTAAAGCATATAAGGAAAGGCTGCTGGAATTGGGTATGTCTAGTTTAATGAAGAGAAGGACGAGGGGGGACATGATAGCAGTGTTCCAATATCTCA